AGTGCTGCGTTGCTTCAGAGTACTTGGGTACTTCTTGTAGTTTTCATGGCTTTATTTTGCCCAGCTCCTTAATCTGCCAGTGGATTCTCAGCAGTTGAGTTAACTCAGGACAATAAAAGAAATTAGAGCAAGAAAAGATGTCTGTACTAAATGAGCTGAGTTTAAAGCATGGGTGATCTGATACAGAGAAATGATTACTTGTTTTAAGATTTATTTACTTATAGAAAACTGTTTAGCAACTTATTTACTTACTTAGTGTGTTTTTAATATTGTTAAGAATCCTGCTTGCTCAGACTGTTCTGTGGAATTTTACGAAGGACTACAGTATTCATCATAACAAAACAGTTTACTGTGAAAATCTACCAGGGGCTACAATGTTCAGCAAAATATTATGCTCTGTCCTTGAGAAACAGTTGGCTGGCACTAACTTGTTGGAATTTTGCTAATGAGTAGAGATAGTCATAGACGCATGGTAGAAGTTCTATTGGTTCTCTTAGATAAGATAGAAAATTAAATCAGCTGAAAACCACTTTTGTTATTCAAGAAATTGGCCAAGAGAGTCTGCCCATGCTCCATGGAAAAAACAGGGTAAGAAAGACTATGAGCCTTCCTCCCAAAGATCTCTGAAGACGACCACCAGGAGGCAATGCGCAGGTGCAAAGATAACATAAACTGCTGACACCAGCCTCTAGAACTAACCCAGCCCTGCTCATGCATATGTATGTTTGTGTTATGTAACCCAGTGAATATGGATATCTACACTCTGTAAGTTTTGGTAAAATGTGAGGTGGGTGTGCAAGCTTTGTGGAGAAATCCCCTTGCACCCCGGCCGGAGTAATCATACCTGCTGTATAACTCCGTTTGAGTTGTAGAGTCTTTTTTCCACGAATCAGTTCCTTTATCACCTAATTCCCCACCGACTATGTGGAGCTGTTGTGAGACTTCAGGCAGCTTTTCTATTGGACTGTGCTTTGTGATCCATTCTCCATTTATTGTCCCACTTTCACAAGCAGGTAACTGTTCCGACTAAGACAGCTGAGCTGTTTTCAGTGAAATATAATAGTGGGTTGCAGTTCAGGATATAGATTAGTGCAAAATTTAGTCTGTAGTCTTAAATTTATATTTTTAATTATTTCCCTGTTGCTGTAACACATGGAATATTTTCTTCAGTGATTAAATTTTACTATAGTAAGGCATTAAAAACTTGGGTGCCTTGAGCTAAGTGGTTAGCATGTTTGCTAGGTATTGTACAGGCAGATGAAAGACACTGCAGAAAAAGCAATTAAGCAGGCTATCTCTAAAATAGCCTCTTTCTTGCCTTGCTTAGAGGACAGTTCGAAGCTGTGTTTGTATCTGAGAATGACATCAGAGAGAATCTCAGAAGTCTGTTGGAACAATGTAAGAATTAAAAAAAAAAAAAAGTAGCCCTTAAGCTGTGTAAGCAGCTGTAGGTCTTTTCTTTATGCTGGGCTAGATGGGCTTGATAGGTTTATCCTTCTTTTGGATTGATTTTAATTGTTTGTAGGACAGAAAGTACTTACACTTTAATGACTCCTTAAATTGGCAGTCCTTTTTGTTCCTTGGTCTTCTCAAAGACTCTGAAAATGTAATAAAACAAATTGCCTGTATGTCCTGTTTTTGTTTTGCTACCCATGCAAAACCCCAGGAAGATCACATCACCTGCCCAAGCCCTAGCATGCTGCCTGGCTAGGTGTGCAGTGACTCTTGCCTCCTGCAGTGCCTGAATCAGTTCTTCAGGGTACATTTGATAGTAGCGATGCTTCTGAGACCTTTAGTTTTTCCGAATGAAAAGCTGGCATGGATTGGTAGGCTGTTTTGATAATGTGATGAATGTACTAATGAAATGTACGCTTTAACTTAAGCCTGTTTCCCTTGACAACAGGACTTACTCTGGCTTTCATTCATCAAAACAGAAGTGAATGTGTAGCATAAAAAGCACTCATTTTTTTCCAGGGGACCATCTGATTGTAGAATTCAGAGTATCAAGTAATTTGGAAAATCTTTGCATCGTTAATTGCAGTAATACCACACACTCTCAGAAATGTCCCAGGATGCCCTCATCTATTTAGATTTTGCATAAAATGTTGGTCACAAATGTAAACCTACATTATGTTCGTCTTATTTATCCTTTTGACCTCAGTAGGCTTCCTTGTATAAAAATTTGCATCACCTGTATTCTTAAATTAAGCATTGCTTTAAAGGCTGAGATTCTGTTACCTCAAAACAAAACTATTTTTGAGGGCAGTGGTGACAACTAAATGGTTTTATCAGTAACTGTAGCTCAGAACACAACAGTGAACTTTTAATCTAAAGTGTCTACAGTGGCATTTCAAGAGCATGTGAATGACTCATACACAGTTCTCATGAACTTCTAACTACAGGCTCCAGGTGTTAATGCAGCTGAAACAGCTTTGGTTTTCTTCCCAAAGAGTGATGTTGATTAAATCAATCAGTATTATTTGTTTGATTAATACTAGACTTACAACTGTCTTGTCTGAGCCTTTAATATTCTTGCAGCAATTGTGTTGGAAGCCCTGGTTCTTTCAGCATAAATATGCTTTGCATAGAATCTCAGTTTCTGGTGTAACTGGAGGAACAAAAATAATATATACCAATATCTTTAAATTGGGGAACTGGAAAAAGGACACAGTGCATTTTAAAAACATCTTAAACTTGTTCTTTCCCAGCTTGCCTCTTATTTCTTTGGTCTGATGGAATTAATTAACTTTTGCTCTTTTCCAAGTTTCAATTTAAAAATAGGTGAGAAGTGCTTGATAAACTTGGAAGCAAAGGGTTTAGGTCAAGGTGGAATTGGGAAAGAAAATGTGGTCAAGGTGCTTGTATATTGCTTTGGAAAGTAGCTTATTCAAATTTTAGTTCATTTGAAGCAAAACTTCTGAGTTGATTTCTCTCCCCCCATTCCCAGCTCAGTTTTGGAGCCTTTTTTCAAATTAACTAGCTACATTTATACTCAGTGTCTCCAGTCTGCTACAGTGGCTGCTGTTATCTAACATTAAAGCTAGGAATTAGTGTGTTGAAAAGCAGCAGGGGAAAAATAATAAATAACTAGTAATCTAAATCACTAAATTTAGCTGCTGTCAATTTTAAATTTAAAAGAAAAATTATCTTGATCCAGTCAAATAGCTTTGCCCTCTGGTATGATACCTTCCCAACACTGCTGTGCAGCTAGTCTGCTCTCCAGACTATAGTCTAACCTCTTGAAGTTTCCAAGGTTGTGAAGAAAGAAGGAACTAAACTTATGGAAGCCAGAATGACAGGTCTTATCCTTAGTATCTTGGGCATGCATACTCCTTCTGCTAGCATACTCCTTAAATTCCTTATCAGGCTGTGACATCACCTTGTGGGGGGAAGAAAAAAAAAAAAAAGTCTAGCTTTTCTCTCAAATTTGATTTTTCTTCAACAGTTCTAAATTCAGGTGACAAGGAGATTCATGACTGTGTATACAGACTCCTGAATTTTACAGGCTTTTTTACTGACAGTGTGCCCACAATCCTTTCCTGTTCTGTTTCAAATGATGGATGAATTTTGTTTTCGATTGTTAACGTTACGCTCTTTCATGGTAGGGTGGCTTCTATATTACAATTTAATGCATTTCATATCTGTGATACCTGAACAGGCTCAAAGATGGAAAATCCATTTTTAAATGTGTTAAAAAGACACTTGAGCTGCTAACAGTACAGAAAATTGTCAGGCTTTTAATACACTGGAGACACTTTAGATGCAACTGCTGTCCTAAGTGGATAGCAAGATCTTCCTTTTAAAATAATTTTCTAGTACAATACTTGTTTTAATTGTTTCTAGATTAGAGAATGCCCTGCTAATATCTTGTCAATTGGTCTGTGTTGGTAAAGGAGGATTCTTACAGAGGCAATGGAAGGACAACAGAAGCAAGAATCAATTGTGGAATACATGCCCTCAAGAACAAAAAGGAAAAGTAACTACAATACTTCCAAGTAGCTATGGGTCTGGATTTTGCAGCAGAGATGTTCTTCAAGCTGTATTGGAAACTTATTACTCATGATTGTTTGTTGCTAGGTCTTGAACAAGGAGTGGCTGGTAGACAGGTCATTTTTGGCTTTATAAACAAACTGTGAATTTAAGAGGACTAAATTCCTCTAAGTTTGCAGCAAAGTAATGCTGCTTTATTACTGATCCTGGGAATCAAATCTGATATTGGATGCTTTTTATGAAAGAAGGGTAAGATCCTGTTTCTCTGTACAAAGTGACAGCACTTTGTAGCTACTGGTGAAAATTGAGTCATTCTAGAGACTACTGCTGTTCTAGTAGGCTTGTAAATAAAATTTAGAAAAAGGTGCAGCTTTGCTCAGCTATCTTGGCTCTGAAAATGTATGCTTTCTCCTAGCACCATAGGAATTATTTATGTTAATCATTTGGTGTCAGTGTACTTCTCAGCCTTTCAGTGACCTTAGCTAATAAGGTTCTCCAAGACCGGAAGGAACAAAAAGAAATTCTGAAGCAGCAAGGGCAAAGGTGGTGTTGCCCAAGGGTTTTTAATGTCTTCCTTTTTGTAGCATGTGCATTTAGCTTCCAGATTCCTCAGGATTAGATCTTCCCTTGCCATATTTTTCCCATACTGCTTGCTTGGCACTTGACTGAATGCCCTTCAGCAAACCACTTCCACTTATTGTCAGAAAAACTATCTGTAATCCTAATGAGTTTATGATCTTGGCTTTGGCATCAATACTACACAAACAATAAAAAAGCCAAACAAACCAAACAAAAACCCACCAAAAAACCCCAAACCATGAAAAGGATATAGGAATATGTTGACCAGTCTGTTGTCTTCTTTTCTACTTGCACTGCTGTACATCTGTTGTCCCATCCTTCTTTAAAAAGCACTTTTGATCATTAGACTTTGTGGTTTGGGGAGTGTTCTTTGGCTTTTTGGCACTCAGTCATAATTATAAATCTTATCTGAAAACCATCTCTTCTGGCAGGTAAATTTGAAGAAAAAGAAGATAAAGTTCCAAAGTTGGAGCAATTAAATAACCTGGCATACGTGTGCAGTGTGAATGTGGTATTGAACAAGAAAGACTTGCTTAGAATGGAAATGCTGCTTTTGGAAAATTTCAACTGGAACCTCTATCTACCAACACCTGCACACTACATTGACTACTACCTCCATGTGTCCATCGGCGAGAATGACCTTCACAATGGCTGGCCAATCACCTCACTGACCAAAATCAAAGATTTTCTGGAGAAATATGCATATTATTTCCTTGATTTCTCAGTGCAAGGTAAGAGGCTTAGTTTTATGCTAGAATGATCTTCCACTTGGCAAAATGCAAAACTGAAAGAGACAAGTGCTTTAAAACTTGTCATATTATGAATTGCCAAAATTTCTGTGCAGAATGGTTTCTTTGCGTCTATTTCAGATGGCAAATGGTACGGTGTCCTTTCCTTGTGCATAAGCCTCTTGTCTCTTTTCATAAATGTCTAGATGAGATCAAATTTTTTCTTCAGCATAGAACACTAATTGGTGAGACTGGCAGAAATGGGACCTAATTTTTGATCTGCCACAGTAAGTACTGTCAATTACAGACCTGATACTATGCAGTTCAGTATAAGAATCTTTTTTTAATGAATTTTTTTGCGAGTCCTGTGCTGCAAGACACGACATATTTAGAGTGATGGGACTTTTAATGTTTGCAGCACTGTTTCCAATATCTGCCTGTGTGAGAGGCAGTGAAAGCATCCTCATAAGCTGGGTTGAACACTAATGTAAATACGTGTGTAATTTTCAATACCTGACTTTAAGTTGAGACCAGTCTACAGATTTCAGCATAGTCCATTTCATGGCTTTTTCTGAAATGAAAGAAAATACAGTGAAGCTTTGATAGTAGTTACAAACAAGTAGTACAGAGGTCTTCAGGTAAGCTTCATCCAGTTTTGAGCGACTTTTTCTTGTTATGAGTTAATACTCTGCATAGAACAAAGTTGTTCATTTAATTTTGTCCTGTTTTGCCATGTAGTAAGCTCACTGCGGTGATTATTAAGAGTATAATTCTTGCTCTTGTTTTTCTTCTGTAGATCACACTTTCCTCCATTTTCGTCCATCTCTGATTGCTGCAGCTTGTGTATGTGCCTCACGTATCTGTATGCAGATTTCTCCTGCCTGGACAACACAGCTTGAATTGCTAACGTGTTATTCCTGGGAACATCTTGCCCAATGCATTGAAATGATGCTCATGTAAGATGAGAAAGAAACCTGTTTGTGCTCTTAGGAAGATATTGATACGTTTTGGTTTTTTTATTGTTTAGCTAGAATTAAGATAGTACAATATTACATCTTCCGTTTGGGGAGAGGAATAAAAGGGGAAGAATGCAGGTCCCTTTACTAAATACTGTCAACAATATTTGCAGTGCAGAATGGAGCGCACAATTTAGCGTTCATTATGTTTTCTTGTACTGATTGTCTATCTGATTGGATGAAAACATTTTCAGATGGTTGACAAAAGTTTTCTTCCCTTTGTTTTCTCATTGTACCTGCCATATACTTGCTGCAGTGAGACACCAGTGTATCTCTAGCTTTGAGAATACAGTAGGGAGACATTTCAGAACTGTTGGTTTGGGGTTTTTTTCTGGTAAAGGAAGTGACTGTGATGCATCAATACTGGTCTGTTATGTGAGCACATACAGTCTTAATAGAAAATAAAGTTTAATAAAATGGTTTGGGAGTGATGGTGGAGCTTCCAAATTCCTACTTAAAGCAGGGCCAACGGAAGCTAAGTCAAGTCAAGTTTTTACTATTTCCAAGGATGGAGACTTCCTAATCTCTCTGGGCAACTTGTTCCAGTACATCATCATTCTCATGATAATCAAAAGCGTGAAAATGTTTCTTTCTAATATCTATCAGGAATTTGCCTTATTCCCTTATAGCTGTGCATTTTAATATTCTGGAAATACTTACACAGACTATTTCAAAATATATTTGTGTTGTGGGCTTAGGGTTCTAAGATAACCAGTCCATCGGTAAAAACATACTTGTGATGCAAAAGGATCCATAAACCTGTTGTTAGTGTGTGAAGATTGCAGCAGGATAATTCAAAATTAATTGTGAAAGCAAATGAGGATTGCCATATACAGCTAGGGCCAAAAATCTGATTATGTACCCTGATTGGTGAAGACTTTGGGATATATGCATGCTCTGTGAAATTCTCTTTGATAAATCTATCTTGATTTCTTTTTTCCAGATATTATGAGAATGACATTAAAGAAGCCAGTAACATAAAAAAGCAAGTAACAATCCAATATCAAGAACAGGAAGCAGTGGGGAATCTGAGCCATCAAGCCACTACTCAAGTTCTCTTCCAGCAATCCAGTTATCACCCTTTAGCCCAGCATTCAGCTGCGCTTTCCCAGTTCCAGTCGCCAGTGCAAGATTTGTGCTCTGCTTACCGTGACTCCTTGCAGGCCCCCAGGCCCAGCAGTGTGCTCGCTGAGCGCGCTGGCAGCCCGCTGCGCTCCTACACAGCAATTCAGGGCAGCCTTCGGCCACCTGCCCACACGCTGCCCATCCAAACGCCCGTTGCCGTGCAGGTGGCATTGGGAACAGAGCCCAGACACTGCATTTCCGTGGCTTATGGCAGTAGTTACTTCAGTGGTCATCACTCGTATGCAGCTGGGTGTTTTGACGGGTAAATAAATATGGAGAAAAGGGTGATGCGAAGAAGAGCTGAAGAAGATAGCTTGTGAGTGTTACAAGATGTCCATCTGAATGAAACCATGAAGGAACAGAATTCTTACGACTCATTCAGAGGATGTTGATCTGGATCTACTGATCACTGGAACCTCGGTGCCTTTCTGCCAAGGGTTTTACCCTTGGCTCTTAATGAGAGAGAAATAGAAATTAATAAATATACCTCAGTCAGTGTCAGTTTCAGGCATCTGCGTAGAAACCGTGTGGAGATTATTTCCTCCCAGTCTTCACTTAGTGACTTGTCAGAGTTGGCTGAAAGCTTGCGTTGAAGAGTTATTGGCTGGAGTGTTTGAATTTCTGGCAAAGCAGCAATGTACCTAGGGGATGATGTTGGAAAACACGGAGTGCTCTCCTTCTCTCCCAGTGATGTGTGACTTGAACAGTGTTGGCTTATACTACTGGAACCTTCTATTAAAATATACTGAAATTGGTATCAGTTAAATATGAACTTCTTTTATGCAGAAATCTGTGTAGAACACTTAATTTTCTTTGAGCAGAAGTGATAGTTCAGGAGTAAGACTTTAGAATAAAAGGAAAAAAAAAGGAAAACAGACCAGAAGACTATCAAATTATTTTTGACTTAAAATTCTCTTGGAATCTAAGTGTGGTGCTGCTGAGTGGAACATCACTCTGCCTTCAAATATTTTAGAAATAAAACCAAAACCTTAAATCATCTCTTCGATCTTTAATGTGCTGCTGCTTTTGAGACTGGAGATTATATTTAGTAAGTTTGTTCATGAGCTTTATCAGGGATTTAATGTTACTTGAAATCCTCTTGGAAGAACTCCTGAAAGGTTCACTGCCTTCAGTTATTTCATCTTTTGGTCTCGGCGACTTGTGGCAGTAGTTCAGGCTTGGGACAGAGGAACTGGTGTTAATGGGGGCGAGGATAGGGAGCTGGTTAACTCTACTGTGAAATTAGAGTTTGATTGCAGTGCTAGACAATGACTGACCTATTTTTTTTTAATAACATCATTCTCTTGAAAAACGTAACTGGTAAATTGAAGATCCTGTTGCTTCTTCACAACAAGATGCACACCTACTGTCACATATCCAAAGGTTTTTTTTCTTGACTGAAACCAGGGATAATTGTTCAAAAAACTCTATAATAGGCTTTTTTATGTTAATGTAGGTATTTGCAACAAATGGACTTCTGCAGATGTGAAACTTCAGTTTTGATATATGCAACCACTATTGTGAGGTTTTTTTGAAGGCAGTACTCTTGGTTTGTCCTTCCTCTGAAGGTCCTCAGGACAGCAATACAAGTGATGTGCAATATGTATGCTTTTACTGACTTGGGGCAATTTTTTAAAGTCACATGTCACAGTGCTGTTTTAAATTATATTTTTAGAGAATTGTTTTTAAGGGTATTTTAGGGTGGAGGGGAAAAACTAGCCTGCATGCTAATGTGTGCTTGTGTAACTGTGTCTGAGAATGCAACTTTTAGTATTAATTTCTTCCGTTCAGCAGGTTAGAGGAATCTTCTTGTTATTTTCTAAATGCAAACTTTTAAAATAAAAGAGGCAGTACTAATTGGAAATTAGTCTAGAAGTTTAGAGAACTTAGAATAAAAGATGAACTGTTGGCTCTGTATTTATATTAAACTTTATTTTCTGAAGACTTTAGTGTATTTTTATGTCATTCAGCAGACATAAAGAACAACATATATGTGGTGGTACTGTTGTGTGGTTTTCCTTTGTTTATCACCCTTATAATTTGTGTCATGTGCAGTGTTATACTTTGGACTGCCATCGTGCTTAATGGTGAAAATAGTTGGTACATTCCCAGTGAAAGCTTCGAATAAACAAGCACACAGCTGAAGTATCCTTTTTTTTTTTTTTTTTTTTTTTTTTCCAAAAAGTGGTTTCTCCTTAGCTTTTAAGAGCTAGCAAAGAATATATGTCTATACCTTAAAAATACATGATCTGAGCACTCGTAACATTTTACAAAACAGAAGAGGGGTAGGACAAATGTGGTGGAACGGCTTTGCCAAATAACAAATTATGAAATATATTAGGCAGATAAGGAATTTGGTCACTGCAGAAAAAAAGCTGAAAATGTGCAGCGACGTGGTAGGGACATAAAATAATAAAACAGGTTGTTCCAGTTCACAGGGCCAGTGTGTCTTGGGGATGCTGTCTTACCCCAGGAAACCGGAAGGCTGAATAGAACGCCACAGCTGTATTTCTTCTGGTGTCTGGATCTTCTAAGCAGGAATCGTCCATCGACTTCTAGGTCCTGTTTGTGCTGCTGTTTCACGGGTGGAGTTGGGGCAGATTAAATCCAGCAGATTTCGAAAGGGAAGAGATTTAGGAGAATTTGAGTTGGCCTAATGCTGCTTTGGTTGACAGTTCTCTCTAGAATGTTTTAAATGTTGGTGGCAATTTCCACAAATTTAATTTCTGTATACTTTTATATGGCTAATTTTTTTTTTTCTTTTTTCTCTTGTGAAAACACCTCAGGAAGAACAAATGTAGAAGAGTTCAGCCAACCCTAAAGATGCTTCTCTGAGGACTTTTTGCCACAATTACTTTTGGAGGGCACTGCAGAGGTGCATGCAATGCTGAGTTAATTTTTAAACAAATGGATGCAAAACTTACCACCCTGTGCTTGTGCTGTTTGCTGTCAGTTGCAGCAGTCAGAGATCAGAATTTTTACATGCTGATTAACTCGTACTTCCCTGGCAGACTCTGAATTAAGAGAGGCTGCTGCCAAAGCAAATGCAGTGAAACATGGCAAGGAATTCAAAATGGAGTATGGGACTAGTTACCTCCTCCCACGGGAGGATGTTGCAGATGTAACCAAACAAAGGAGAAAGCTGACATTAAAAGTAAAAAAAAACTGTATTAGTGAGTCCTGACAAGAGCTGCTGCACAGATACAGGTGGAAAAAAAGTCTGCTAATGTGAATCAGGCATTGGAGGTTAAAATGATTTTTTTTTTTTTAATCTTACAGCTGTAGCTTGTTGCTTTTTTTAAACAGGAAAGGGAAACTACTACCCTCTCCCTATTTGTGAGAAAGCCACCACTTGGTGTTTGTTAAGTTGTCAAAGCCACTGTTTGATCCTCTTGTTTTAGCAAGCTTTACACACTGTGGCAAACAATTTTAAGTTGATATAATGCTCTTTGATCAGTATAATCAACTCATCAGGGAAGCATACAGGTGTTGCTTAATAAAATTTAGCTTAGTGCTATTTTTTACTGAGAAGTCAAGATACTAGCAAATGTGGGCCAAACACTGATGGATTCCTAGTGATAATTTTGCACAAGTTGTTTGGTTTTTTTTTAAGGCGTGTTTATTTTGCTCTCTATACTGCCATTTCAAGACAAGCCTAAAGAATGTCCTCTGGTTGAAAAGGCAGCAGTGCTTTTTTCCCATGTGAAAGCACTCCTTGCATGCTTTCTAGAGAGCCTAGATAAAAATCCCACCCTTCCTTTCAAAGCATTGTTGTCTGTACAATGGGGAGCTACTTAATCACATGCAGAATGTGAAAATGTGCCAGTTGCACCACCCTAAATGTAGTTGCTTCTAGAACTGGAAGGGGTGGCTGGTTCCATTTTGCTTTCAAAGCAGGGAATTATCAGGTATCAGCATCCTCTCCTTCACAGCAGGTTCTTGTAGGTGTGAATGGTTCAGACAAACTGCCACCATCCCTTAATTCTACTATGAGCTTTGGTTTCATAGAACACTTATGTAGGTGGTTAATTGTTTAATGTGATGGGCACATTCTAAATACAGATGTTCTAAGATGTCACATTATTATTTGCAGAGGAATGCACTAGCTGACTTGAACTCAAATGCGAAGTAAGCCTGAAGATATCCCTTATTTCTTCACAATGTGACCTCATATAACTGAAGAGGCTGAATTTCAACAAAATTCTATTAAAGCAGTATATCTGTTTGTTGCAAGTACCAAAAGACTGTCTCAAGGTTGAACAGGTTTCAGATTTGACCTGTATTTAGAGTTCTTAGAAACAGAATAATTAATATATTGAGCAACATCTGGTCATAAGACACGTACATCCCATTTTGGGTAAACTGATGGGGTCTGGATGAAGTCTTTTGCAGCTGAAAAGCTTACCTCTATGGAAGGAAAATACAGAAAGGAATTAAAAGGTATTTTTTCTTAATGCAAGATACCTGAAATAATTTGAATTATCAGTCATGTACATAAGGCCCATCAGAAAATGAACTTTTGTGATCACAAGACACATACCCTGGCTAGTTATTAGCTTGGAAAAATTTGTCTGAAAAGGGACAAGCTTTTGAACCAGGTATTGTCCAGAAGTGATTTGGAACAGTAAATCCAAAACCTGTTTTAATTCCTACTGTGTTCAAGAAAAGAGGTTTCCACATGTACTCTATGTAAATAACAGGATTGCAATGAGAAAATAAGACTCCATGTTTTCCTGCAGGAGTGAGTCTGTAAAACCTTAAATTTGGGTCAAGAGGAGATACTGATGAAAATGAGAAAACCATGATAGCAGTATTAAAGCGTATCTTTTAATAAGTGATAAACTGACTTTCTCATGTTTTCAAGCTCCTAAATTTCTGCCCTCCAACCAGCAATAAGGCAAAAGACTTTCATCATCTTGCATTTTGATTTAAGCTTTGGGCAGAGTATTGTCTTATTGTCTTATACTTCTTTAGACAGAAGCTGAATAGAGCTTCTGTTAAGTAGGTGGCAGACAACATTTGAATATGCCAAGTATGTATCATATCCTGAAATATTTAAACTGGGTGGCATTGTTAAATGCTTTGTTGCATCTTCTGATTTTTGTGTTCTGATTTTATGAGTATTTGTCAGATCTTCAGGAATGAGGTAGGCTTTAATGCTGAAGATAACACTCTGAAAAACAATTTTTCATGTTTGTAATACAAAGAAATAGAGAGGGGAAGACAATCAGCACTCTTTATTTTATTTATTTGCACAGTTGTTTGTTTTTCGGTGCTCTGGAAGAGACTAGCTTTACTGCCTTAAGCAATCCTTTTGCTGGTCCTTCTGTAGACTACACCAGAAGCAGTAGAAATCTGGAATAAAGAACAAGCCAAAAATTTGGTTGAACAGTGTAATTAGAGCTTCACTGTCACACAAATTAAAGAGACCTACTGAGTGACTCGCAGAACCTTTCCTTTACTGAAGCAACATTTACCTTTTGGTAGGAGACACATCTAGAAAATAAGCTGAATGTCCTTGTCAAGCCTGAAATCCACAGTGCAAAGATATTCTTACACATAAAGCACAACTTCTGAACAGGGATTTAGGGTAACTTAAATGTGTCTTGTGTTAGATGTGGCTTTACCAAATCCAAGTTATCAGAGTTTTAGACAAGTGAGATAATTGTTCTCCCAAAGCAATAAATGATTGACAGTATTAGTTTCAGGGAGGGTGAGTGTCCTTTCTTGATTCTCAGAGTAATTTCCTCCTAGTTAGTCTCTCAGACATAATGTAACTGGCACAAACATAAGTCAGTTAAAGAAAATTTGTGAGAATTTGACAATCCTGTCTGTTTTACAAGGTTTTGTAGTAATCTTCTAAAGCAGTGTTGACATTTTGTTTGGTAATATAAGATACTACTTGAAATCCAACCTCTTTTGTGTTTTGTTTTGTTTTTGCTTTTGGCAAGACCAAGGAAATAGGGTTCTACAGAAATTCTGTGAGGAGTTGCAGCTAGATTGTTTTCAAAGAATGAAACAAAGTTATTGACTTTATAGAAACATGTAAGTAGTAGGTTAAAAGATATCTATCTATCTATCTATCTATCTATCTATCTATCTATCTATCTATCTATCTATCTATCTATCTAATTTTCCAGAGGCGTAGGCACAGTGAAGAGTCAAAAGACAAGACATTTTGGGAATATTTCATTCTGAACATTCCAGTTTTACAGCTATAAAACTGTGTCTGTGCCTAAGATGCAAGATCTACATTTCAAGTTTATCAAAAATAATCTGATGAAAAGTTTCATTTAATTTTTTGATTAAACATGCACAAAACCATAGAAGATTATCTAGAGTGAATGAGAAAGTTATTCAATAGTTTTGCTTTACCCTAAAGATTTTTTTTTTAAACTCAAAACTTTAAGCCTGCTGCTCTTGAGCTTTTGTTTGTTTGCTCTTTATAAACTAACCTGGATATATGAGAACTCACCTCTACTAGCTTTCCTCCACAGATCTCTGCAGTATGACGATAGTTGGGAAAATCAGCCACTATTTTCCCATCCTCCATTTTAACAGTTGCCTGTAATGGAGAAAAGTTTAATGTTTCCCTGGGATTACCGACATTTATAATTAATCAGATACACTGTAAACATCTGTATACCTGATGCTTAAAGTTTTACTTTTAAAAGAAAAGTAGCTTCAGGAACAGGCCTAAAATCCTTGTGCTTTAGTTCTTAAATGTTCACAGTTTAAATAGAAAGGTGTTCATGTAACAATACATGCAAGTTCCATATCTACACAATAGTCACTCATAGCTCTAAAAATGATCTGACAAGACACTTCTCATTCAGTCCTCGGTGTTCTGTGGAGCTCTCTTGTTTTGGCATGATTGTATGTAAAAGGCATGATTGTATGAGTTAATTTTGAAGTAGCATTCTTAGATACTAATAACCTGCCTGCAAGCAGCACAAAAGTCGCTGTGGACAAGTGATGTGAATCTTTACCCTAGATCCAGAGTTTCATACCTCTAGCTACACTAGAATTCATCTCGCTCATTTAAGCATAGGTGAACGTGACTGCACAGTCTGCAGTGACACCTTTATCCTGTAATATGTGCCAACCGCTCTAAGAGCTGCTTCTGTATGGAAGATCACAGATACTACTGACCACCAAAACTAGGTATGTAGTTCCGTCACAAAGTCAGTCTTGCCTGTGCTTTTAGTAATACAGAGAAATGAGCCAGTCATATTTAGAGGAGAAAAAAGTAATTTGCAAAATGAAGAGATAAGTGGACATTTTTTACCAAAGAAACCATCTCACTAGTGTATGTATTGTTTGGTGACTTTATACTAAAAGGCAGTGGTTTCTCTCCTGAGAATCATTTATTCTGCCTCCATCTTTGGCTACTTAATAGTCTTTGGAGTGCTGCAGTGCCCAGGGCCAAAAAGAAGAGAATAGAATTTAAAAATTAAGTTTGCGATAAATTGACCAAGTAGAATTGTTGTGTTATTCTGTTAGGTTTCACAAAGATTTCTCAAAGCCAAAGACATGAGTTTTTTTTTCCTCTCATAATTAGAACGGTATGACTAAAATAGCATTCTGGAAATCACGCAATGCTTGGTTTGTCACAGTTCCCTGATGCAATTGATGGTTTTCCTGTCTCTTTAATATGTATAAAGCATTTACCCACTCATCTATTGTAGGATAGGGTTCGGGACACCTCACAAATGCAGTTTAGCTGTCCCAAACTGTCTTATCCCTTTAAATAGATAAAAAATAAGGTAAGTAAATCAACTATTTTATAGCAGGTTTTTTTATCCAGATTTTGTCCATGACAGTCGCAGATCGATATTGTGTAATCTTCCATCTTGCTAGAAGCTGCTTAAGTTGCAAGTTGCTCTGTACTTCCAAAAGGAAGGAGGCTACAGATATTTTTTTTCCCCTTCATTTTATAGTCTTTTACATTTAAGGTTCAGGCACAGGTAACTTCAGAAGGTGAGCACTGCTGACAGACATGGGCAGATCTAGACCATAGCACTCCCCTCAGTGTGCTGCAGTTGCTGCATGGATAATGACATAGGTGCCAACCAGCTCTTCAGAGCTTTAGTTTTCTTGAGCTGTGACACCAGTAGAGGCTTGACACTCATTCTTTATTAGTAAGTACAATTCTGAAGCTCTGGCTGTCTTTAAAATCAGATATTTTGCTATGTTTCTAAGCTGTGACAGATGAAAAAACAGTTCAAGGAAGATGTCCCTGAGGCAGATTTTTCACCCTAAATTAAAAAATAACTGAGACAGTGTAGAACTTAAGATCTAAATTACCTTGAATTTTTTACCACCTATTGTCTCCATGTCTGCTTCCTTGCCAATTGTGAATGTGTTGGTTGTGGTGTGGCCTCCTGGGAAGTGCTGTGTCCAGGTGAAGTCATTTCCATTCTGTGCCACCTCAGTGACTATTTTGCAATTCCTTCCCATTTCAACCTTGTCACTGGGGAGACCTTAACCAATAGAAACATACAGTTTATCAAATCTAATAGTCTACCAGCTGCATTTCAATTGAAGCATGCTAATGGTATGTTTGTTCTCAGACACCGATGTCTAAGTGCCTGCTTTAGTTTGGGGTTTTTTTGGCGTTGTGTTGCTTTTTGTTTTCTCACAGCAGTATCAAAGCTCCGAGTTTAAATTACTGGTATAAAGGAAGATACAGGTACATCAATGCATTTACTAAAATAATAAGTTTTGGTCTTGCATTCTTTTCCCTGAGAAACAATACACAGAATAAGTGTATAGATACAAAGTAGATATAAATATCCCCTTCTACTTAATCTACACCTGCAGATATGTGGAATGTAAGGTATATGAATTTATGCCTTTGCTATATAGCTGCACGTACATATTTACTACTTAACCATTAGCTACTGCTTTTTAAAGAAATGAACACAAGCACTGCCCTAAGAGCTTTTGCAGGGTGATCTCTCAAACAGGTTTGCAGTCTTCTGAAAATGTTCACAGAAACCTGTTCTTGTGTAAGATTTTGACAAGCATTTTCATACTCCCACCAATGAATACTAAGGACGGAAAAAGTGACTTTCACAATCACCATACTGCAAACATCTTGACCTTTCATTCTGCTGCCACTGAAAAGGAATACTACTTCTGTAGAACAAGACTATTTCTTCTTGTAAGAATGATAACTGAACCTCCCTGCTGAAGTGCAGAGCACTCCTACCAGTCTTAGCCCGTTGATATCAGCACATGTCAGTAAAAAAAATTTCTTTTTAAAAACAGTATTTTTAACTAATTTATAAACTTTAAGACTTATACCCCAAGACATACTTACCAATCTTCTTCACAAAGTCATCATAGTTCTCATCGCCTTCAAATTCGTATTTGCCTGCGAATGCCATGTTGCCCTGGTGATGTGGCTGGTAGAGCAGAATAGCAGCTGGAACAAAGAAGAATGGATAAGTGCAGATGGCTTGAGGCCCTCGTTTTTATAAACCAGCCCAAGCTGTTCAGCCCACCTATACCCACACCCCTTGGAAATTACTTTTATGATCTATGTGAGTCATTAACATGGATGCCATTGACCTGTAGGAAAATCAAGGTTATAATTCAATTATACATGCTTGACAATAATCTAGAGCAGAAATCAAGGACAAAAGCTCAGTTTTCATTTTAGTGCATATTTAAACAAAGTGATATATTTTTACTTTCAAGATTCCACTGATTTTGCATTCAGGATGGAATAATGGTAAAATATGTTATAATGAGACAGGGAGGAAATGGCTTCAAAGCAGTGTCTTGAGATCACAGCCTTGCTCTATTTGGAAGCATACCCTATATTAGTTAACATTTGAAAATAAGAAACAAGCGGCATAGATTCCTAAGTAATTCTGGTAGGATATGGGCAATGACAAGATTCTGGGTAAATTACTGCACCTCCACCTGTCTTACCTTATCTCCACACAAAAAAATAATTATGAAATATTTTACACTACTTGGATGTAAAGTATATTAGATTAGTCCACCACATTCCCACACCCTATTTAATATCAAGAGACAATAGTGCTTTGTACTTGCAAGTGTTTGCACAAAGTACAAAGTACAAAAAAATATATTCATTTTGGAAAAGCAGAGCTCTGATTTATATAAGATAACCGTAAGTTAAAAGTCAGGGAGTCTGCTGGGTAATTCAGAATACATACAGGAGATGTCCTATGCCTAATCAATCCATTCCCACACACAGATAGCAGGGTAGAAAGTTCTCAGCTGCTGTGTATTGGCATAACTCTACTGGCTGAGAATACAGACTAACAATTTTTAATCTGAACAAAAACATTTCTAGGATTTATGTGAAAACAGTGTCATAGATTGGAATTTTATTTTATTAATGTAATACATTTGGGAAGGAACAGAAAATCTATTTTTCCCTGGTTTTATAAAAGTCTGGAGACATATATAAGTGTTCAACAGGTTTTGCTGTATGCTAAGTGGGTTCCATTTCTTAGATGCAATTAATTTAATCCCACATGTTAATGCAAGAACATGTCAAGAAACTGATCAGAAGAACAGGAACATAGGCTGGGTGATGAAAAACATAGAAAACAAAGATCCACTAAACTTCACCATTTCTCTCCTTGGTATACTTTCAAATTAATATATTCTATATAACCATTTCTGTATTTCTAATTAATAGATTTATCCATACTCCACTCTGTCAGAGAATAAGACAAACTTCAGTAATGGGATGAAACTTCAGTAAAATGTTAAATATCATAAATCAAGGTAAAGCATTATTGTAAAACTATATAAATTGCTACATCTAAGTTTTATTACCATTAATATTGAGTTCACAGAGTCAGTTGTACACTGCCTCAGCCTGTGCTCTAAACGGTGCATGTAGGAGAGTGTAGTGTAGTTTGCAAACTGTTCTACTGAGTTGAGACAGAACGGTGCCCCTGAGTGACTCCTGCCTCGTACTGTCACATACTGGCCGTGTCATGCTGTAGCCTCACAGATTCGAGACTGCAAGTAGATTATGTCATATCAGCATTAAATTCAAGAGCAGCTAGAAATAAGACAGCCTGTACCCAACTGTTTCATCACAGCATATCAGTGTACACAATAATTCATTAAATTAGTATCTGTCAGGGGGGTTTAAGGATTTATTAAATTTAAATATATTTGCTATATATACATACATATTTAATGGCATATTGCTTGTCAGGGTGTGTTGCAACTCAATAAAAAAAAAATTCTAGTTTGTATTAATTTTTTATTTTACTTAGTAAGCTGCTTGCTTTTATGAAAAGACTCTGCTGTCTAAGTTTTACAGCCTTACAGAATAAGCAAGGCATATGAGGTCTGAATAGGAAAAGATTTCCTATCTTAGGAAAATTTTTGCAGTTTCAAAAACTTTTCCTTACAGGGGAAAAATAAGAGGTATTGCAGAATAACACTGATGGGTGAAAAGTCTGAATCATGCAAGAAGGGGACTTCTAATGGAAAAGAATATTCTGACCAGAAAAAGCTTCAGAAAATTCCAAGTCAGTTTTGTGAGAGATTATACCTGTGAACTGCTTCATGTTTATTAGTTAGGAATTTACATGATTTCAGTTTTTTTAGGTTTGCTTTTTTTACTTACTTCTTCTTCTGAAGTCTGAGAGAAGGTAACTTCAAAAATCTTACATCTTCTTATGAAAGAAAACAAAACTTTCAAATGGAGATGCGATTTTTGAAGTTGACAACAGCCTTTTTAAAACTATTTGTTTGGGTGTATGTTCCTGGCAAGAAAGCAGTATTCTAGAACAGATGCAGAAAGTGAACAAGAGTGAAGCATAACAAAATCATGGTCAGTTTGTAAAATAAAAATGGAACAAATGTCCTAGGAGTTACTGCCTTCCCACCCCTAACCCTTCACTCTCCCCATATTTACTCAGCTTTAAATTGTACCATGCTGTGCAGTGGCTGACTATATTGTGCTGGAGTTCATGACGCCACAAAAGCCATACCATCTGCTGTCTGCATGCAATTAAAAGGATGTCTCCATACTTGAAATAGAAGAGAACCATATACCTTCCCTCTGTGAACATCCTCTGTGTCCTGTGATTAGCATTCAAAACACAGGAGTGTGGGAGAAAGTACAAAACTGAAGGTTTCTGTATCAATTATAAATACATTAGGTTCAGAGAAGGAACAGAGAAACTTGTTTCACTACCAGTTTCCTTTGCACTTTTCATTTAAAAGTGTAAAATGATTCTGACTGTCCCACAATCATATTTAACACTTAGTTTTTTAATTAGAACTCCTTCAGCTTAATCCCAAGATTGTTGAACTCAGTGACCAACTGTGCAGAAGCAGACAACTGAAAAGGAAACTTTCTTTATCAGCTGGACCCAGATGCTTAGGCCCTATCTGTATAAAGAAAAACACCATTAGCATGGAAAATACTAAAGTGGTTGCACATACATAAAAGCCTTCTTACTGCCATAGTAAAGCTAAGTAGATACATGTTAAGCTACAAGAATGTAAACTCTGCTGTTAATAGAGGCAAAACCCTAGTAATTTCAGTCATACACTGATTTGAAAATACCATTTAGAGGAAAGTATCATCAAGCCTATTTCATACATGAGAAAGCTGAAACACTGAGGAAAAAATGACCTATAAGAGCTTATGATACAGTGAACGGATGATGCAGCCAGTAAGAAATTCTAAGTCCAGGCACCAACCTAGTGTCCACAGGATGGCACATTTATTTAAAGATTTTTATAATAAACAACCCCTTAAAAGCAAAGGAGAGCTCTGAGTGACTATTTACTTTCAGACACGCAGGAAGTTTTACACTCGCTCCACTGAAGGGCTGTGACAATCTTTAGAGCTGCTTAGCACAACTGGCTGAGCCAGTCCCTAGTTAAGGTTCTTGCTGTCTCCATGTGGCCCTGTGTATACTGAAAGATAACCAGTGTCCAGCCCAAGCTGTGCTTTGGAGAGCGGGTCACCAGTGAGACTGCCCTCAGGCTAGCTGAGTGCTGAAGGCCTCTGTCTTGCACTAGGCTCTCAGTGTTCCAGAGAGACATGCACAACCCTGCGAAGCAGGTAAATGAACTCAAGCCACAGACTCTTCTGTTTACACACAATTTATTGGGGGATAATACCACTGGCATAGTAACATCACATGGACCTTGGATGATAGAACAAACTGGGTAAGAAAAATGCCACAGTTCTGTCAAACAGGAAAAAGACTATCAGATTAAATGAACTTGAGCTTTTATGTTATCTCTCTTTCTATAAAGATCAAATTATATTGATAGCTTTCTTGTGATGTGATATAAAAGTGCTGACATCTATAGAACTATACAATACTTAGAGCTTCCCTGCAGTGGGAATGTGGTGGGCACAGAGCCAGTGTGTACTACAGTAAATTCCCAGTGAATAACTATTTGACTGGGTGGGTCACTCTTGTCACACACTAAATATGAGTTTATTCACCTCCAAGGAGTTGTATGCTACACTGTGCATAAGAGTTCCAGAGCAGGTTACAAACATCCATCCAAATAATAAAGGTAAGGCTATGCAGTCTTAACAAATAAATGTGCTTGCTCTGCTTGGCTGCTCAGGATCAGCAGAATCATTTTTGAACAAGATTTGAACAAATATGCCATCATCTGAACCTGTCTGTGCAGAGGAGTTTTTAATGTGCATTGTGAATTTCAGCCATGTTTCTGCTTACTTATTCTGAAATAAATCCTTATTTTCATTCCTGCATTTTTTTGCTATAAAATGTAAAGAAATTTGATAGTGTATTGGAAAATGAAGATTTTCATTAAGGAGTCTTCCAAATACTGAGTGAGGAAAATGTTTATTCCAAGAATAAAGGAATGGAGGCCCTCTGACTTTACTGAAGGTACAGTCACTTGGACAAGTGCTAAGGTTATAGTCATCCAAGTCCTTACCTCTTCAGTTTCAGCTAAAACCAGTTTCCATTTAATGACCTTACACTTTGCATTTACAGTATTGTAGGGAGAGGCACTCGGAAGATCTTGCAACATACGGGAAGAATAGAGGTGCATTAAAGATCTCGCGATGTATGGAAAGAACAGGGAACAAAAGATCTCACGATGTACAGAAAGGTATATATAAAGCAATTGCGCAGCTAATAAATTGAGCAAATAGCAACCACCATATTGGCATTTGTGCTTTTGTTCCCGCGAAGGTTTTAACCTCCTGCAATGGTTAGCTGTGATCTGAATGCTGCATTTCTGTGGCTTGGCAGGTAGAAAAAGACAGCTAATACCTTACCACAACACAGTATTTGTGATTTTCCTACCTCCTCAGAGCTGTAAAGATGTGATGTCGCTTTTGCATACTTCTACAGTAATCCTTCATCCTTGGTGGGCTGGTCATTGAACCAAACAGTGCAGAGAACTCTATAATTACACAGT